GAGAGAGAGAGAGAGAGAGAGAGAGAGAGAGAGAAAGAGAGCGAGAAAGAGAAAGAGAGATATTCTACCAACGATACAAAACAACAATTGCCATTAACCATTAACCTTTTTTTTCCCGAATGGCATTTATCCCCCCCCCCCTCCCGACCCCCCACCCATGATCGTCATCCAAAACACACACACACACAGAAAAGAGTATCTGCATTAGGATAAAGAGAAGTGTTTAAAGGAAAGAGTTAAAAATAGGGTAGCCGCAGCAGTAAGCCATCCAACCACCACCATGTGACGTGACTGACATCCAAGGATACTATCGAGCCGGGCGGGAGAGTCCATCTCACACCGCGGGGGAGTCCGTGCTGGGGACGGATGGATGGAGGAGGTGGTGGCGTGTTCACAGAGTACACAGATATGGTTGGTTTTATTGGAACGTTGGGGGGTAGGGGATGGGGGGGAGAGGGTTATGCGTAATGTTAAAATGAAGTTAGAGATGTATGTGTTGTAGAAATGTATGGACGTATCCCTGTGCATATTCATAGCGGTCTTATGTATGTACACGCAGTTTCTCTCTTTTCTCTCTCTCTCTCTCTCTCTCTCTCCTCCCTCCCTCCCTCCCTCCCTCCCTCCCTCCCTCCCTCCCTCCCTCCCTCCCTCCCTCCCTCCCATCCTCCCTCCCTCTCTCTCCCCAGAGAGAGAGAGAGAGAGAGGGAGGGAGGGAGAGAGAGAGAGAGAGAGAGAGAGAGAGAGAGAGAGAGAGAGAGAGAGAGAGAGAGAGAGAGAGAGAGAAAGAGAGAGAGAAAGAGAGAGAGAGAAAGAGAGAGGGAGAGAGAGAGATGGCGAGAGGGAGAGGGCGAGATGGCGAGAGGGAGAGGGCGAGAGGGAGAGGGCGAGAGGGAGAGGGCGAGAGGGAGAGGGCGAGAGGGAGAGGGCGAGAGGGAGAGGGCGAGAGGGAGAGAGGAGAGGGGAGAGAGAGAGAGAGGGAGAGGGAGAGGGAGAGAGAGAGGGGGAGAGAAAGAGAGAGAGAGAGAGAGAGAGAGAGAGAGAGAGAGAGAGGGAGAGGGAGGGGGGAGGGGGTGGTGGGAGGGAGGGAGGGGGAGAGAGAGAGAGAGAGAGAGAGAGAGAGAGAGAGAGAGAGAGAGAGAGAGAGAGAGAGAGAAAGAGAGAGAGAGAGAGAGAGAAAGAGAGAGAGAGAGGGAGAAAGAGGGAGAAAGAGAAAGAGAGAGAAAACGAAAACGAAAATTGCTAAGAGAGCGCGAAAGAAAAAATAGAAAGAACGAAGAAATACACAATACGTACACATTATTCACACGTACAATGCACGCAAACAGAAGCACAAACACAAACAAACACAGGCTGAGCTATTGATCAAGCAGACAGCGAGGTATAGAGATTTCCGATGGCGTCGTGGGAAGCGGCAGAAACAAACAACAGCCCAACCCCCCCCCTCCCCTCCCCTACCCCCTACCCCCTACCCCCCCATCCCTGCACACAAAAAAAAAGAAAAAGAGAGAAAAAAAAAGGAAACTGGCAAAGAAAAGCAAAAACAAAAAAAGAGACGTTGGCATCGGAAGAAACAGGGCGAAATGACATTGCAGTTGCAGTGGTAGCGGTAGCAGCAGGAAGTGGGCGTAGCGGTAGAGGAAGTGGGCGTAGCGGTAGAGGAAGTGGGCGTAGCGGTAGAGGAAGTGGGCGTAGCGGTGGAGAAGGTGGGCGTAGCGGTAGAGGAAGTGGGCGTAGCGGTGGAGGAAGTGGGCGTAGCGGTGGAGAAGGTGGGCGTAGCGGTAGAGGAAGTGGGCGTAGCGGTAGAGGAAGTGGGCGTAGCGGCAGAGGAAGTGGGCGTAGCGGTAGAGGAAGTGGGCGTAGCGGTAGAGGAAGTGGGCGTAGCGGTAGAGGAAGTGGGCGTAGCGGTAGAGGAAGTGGGCGTAGCGGTGGAGAAGGTGGGCGTAGCGGTTGAGGAAGTGGGCGTAGCGGTTGAAGAAGTGGGCGTAGCGGTTGAGGAAGTGGGCGTAGCGGATAGAGGAAGTGGGCGTAGCGGTAGAGGAAGTGGGCGTAGCGGTAGAGGAAGTGGGCGTAGCGGTAGAGGAAGTGGGCGTAGCGGTAGAGGAAGTGGGCGTAGCGGTGGAGGAAGTGGGCGTAGCGGTAGAGGAAGTGGGCGTAGCGGTAGAGGAAGTGGGCGTAGCGGTAGAGGAAGTGGGCGTAGCGGTAGAGGAAGTGGGCGTAGCAGCACGAAGGATCAGGCGCTAATTACGATAATGGCGAGGTGTGCGACCGCCGAACAGAGGATTCTTTTTTGCCTTTTCTCACTCTTTGCTTTTCTCTCTCTCTCTCTCTCTCTCTCTCTCTCTCTCTCTCTCTCTCTCTCTCTCTCTCTCTCTCTCTCTCTCTCTCTCTCTTTTCTTCTTCTTTTTGCGCCTTTTGGGACAAACTTGGAAGCATCACAACGAGAGAAGATGCAAGGGCTCGGTTGGGTGTGAAGGCGGTGTGTGTGTGTTTGTGTGTGTGTCTATGCGTCTATTTTT